GTTTGTTACACCCACATACCTGCCCGGCCTCTCTGCCCAGCTCTGGGGTCACCAGGCAATGAGGGGTGCCCATGCACCCGGGGCGGTCTGGCCATCCCACTGCCAAGGCAATGAGCTGCTGGCGGGTCTGGCTCGGGTGGGAAAGCGGTATTTGAATTCCTGTGCAATGCCTTGGAGCAGCCCTTTCCCCTCCTTGACAGCTCCGGTGGGCTTTCTCCTTTCTTTCCTCAGTTGTCCTGATCGGGGAGTCCGGGGTGGGGAAAACCAACCTGCTCTCCCGCTTCACCCGCAACGAGTTCAACCACGACAGCCGCACCACCATCGGCGTGGAGTTCTCCACCCGCACGATCTTGGTGGGAGACGCCGTGGTGAAGGCTCAGATCTGGGACACGGCTGGGCTGGAGCGGTACCGTGCCATCACCTCTGCGTAAGGATGGGATGCCTGAAATCAGGGCTCCCCCTGGTACCTGGGTAGTGATGCCCTCGTAGGTGGGCCCCACGGGTGGGGACGCTGGGGGCGGGGGGGAACGTGTTCTGGAGTGTGGGGTGATGGTGGGGTTCTCCTGTAGGTATTACCGGGGGGCTGTGGGCGCCCTGGTCGTCTTTGACATCACCAAGCACCAGACGTACGATGTGGTGGACCGCTGGCTGAAGGAGCTGTATGACCACGCCGAGGCCAGCATCGTTGTCATGCTGGTGGGGAACAAGACCGACCTCGTGCAGGCTCGGGAGGTGCCCATGGAGGAGGCGAAAATGTTTGCAGGTACGGACTGGCACCCTGCTACGGGCCCGGGGGCTTGGGAACCTCCCTGATAGCACGGACCCGCACCAACGTGGGCACCCTGACATCTCTAAAGGGACATGGAAACGGAGCCGTGCCCTCACCGGCGTCTGCGTTATCTCGGGGAAATCCTCTCATTGCAGACAACAACGGGCTGCTCTTTGTCGAGACCTCGGCGCTGGACTCCACCAACGTCGAGCAGGCGTTCGAGACCATCCTGAAGGGTACATACACCGGCACCGTGGTGCGGCGGGGGTCCCCGGGACTGTGGCGTCGCAGGGTCCCTTACCGGGGACGTGCGGCTGGGCAGAGGATGTGCAGCGCGTCTCTCCTGCTCCACCGAGGACTTTTGGGGCTGGTTTCAGTGTCGTCTTTCTGGCTGGTTTGGTTTCCGGCCTTTCATGCTGGGCGTTT